ATGGAGGAGTATGGGAAATTGAACAGAGTGGAGATGAGCATATGGGAATGCTGTGAACTGCTGAATGATGTTGTGGATGATAGTGATCCTGACTTGGATGAACCTCAGATTGAGCACTTGCTGCAAACAGCTGAAGCAATAAGGAAAGACTATCCTGATGAAGATTGGTTGCACTTGACAGGCCTTATTCATGGTATATTACCCGATCTAAATTACTTCATTTCATTTCAAGACTGAAATGTTGTAATTAATATCAAGAGTTGTGCATTACGGAGATTAAGTTTTGTGTGTGTGTGTGTTTGTTTTAGTCTGTTTCTGTGTATGATAGTTTACATAGAATTCCAATTATATTATACTCTGCTCATGAAGTGTGCTTACTGCTAGAGCTTATTTGTTTCTTTAACTGGCCATTGCAATTTTGTTAGTTTTTTAAGTGATTCACAAACATTGCCTGGATTTCAGATCTTGGAAAAGTTCTTCTTCTTCCTAGCTTTGGAGGACTTCCTCAATGGGCTGTTGTCGGTAAAGGAATCTGTCAAAACAGCAAGATTTGCAACAACCATATTTAGAATTTTTTTGATACAGTGAAAGCAATTTTGCCACAGGTGACACATTCCCTATTGGCTGTGCTTTCGATGATTCAATTGTTCATCACAAGGTCCTTCTTTCGACCAATCTGCAGTAAGTCTAAGATACAATTGTGGCCACACGACCGACATAAATTTCTCCAAATTTCTTGTATTGCAGTACTTTGCAGACAATCCAGATTACAACAATCCTGCTTACAACACCAAATATGGGGTTTACTCTGAAGGATGTGGACTCGAAAATGTAATGATGTCTTGGGGGCACGATGACTACATGTATTTGGTATGTATCTTCTGCAAATTATGTAAATTTCCTATACTTTAATAGTCTTAAATTCTTTTGTATTACTATGAACACTACAATCTAATTGGGAAAGATAATTTAGTGATTCTGTCTTAATCATGAAGGTGGCTAAGGAAAATAAAACTACTTTACCATCTGCTGCATTGTTCATCATCCGATACCACTCCTTTTATCGTAAGTATTGATTTCCTACATAAATGCCAAAATAAACCATACTCAAGTTCATCTATTGCTAATGAACATTCTCATCCACCATGATGTAGCATTGCATACGTCAGGAGCATACAAACACCTGATGAACGAGGAGGATGTCGAGAATCTGAAATGGCTTCACATTTTCAAGTGTGATCCCACTTTGTGTTCACTTGATTTGTTCATTGTCTTGTTTTAGAACGTTTCAATTGCATTAACTAACAAACAATTGGTGCTTTTACAAACTATGTGTAGCAAATATGACCTCTACAGCAAGAGCAAAGTTCGGATCGATGTGGAAAAGGTCAAACCATACTATCTCTCCCTCATTGAAAAGGTGAATTTCACATGATGAATCCACAGTTAGGTAACTATAATATTCTTTTGTTTGTTTTATTAAGTTGGATATAATTTTTTGCAGTACTTCCCCTTTAAGCTCAGATGGTGAGATCCTTGGAACTGAACAGGAGTCAAGATGAGGCCCTATAGTGTTCGACATCCCAGAGTTATATTTGAAGTGGTGTAAACAAATGAGGGTGTTAATGCTCCTTAATTTGCTAGAAAATTCCACTACCACCTAGCAATGTACTCAGTTTTCTGTGGAAACTGTTCCTGAATTTCTTTCCTTAACTTACTTCTATGATGAAGCAAAAACTACTTGTTATGGTGGTGTTATAAACTTTCCTCGACATTTTGACATTCCCAAATATATAATGTTTTCACAATACAAAAGGAAGAATGATTTAGGTGGGAGGGATGCATTAACAGGGTAGCAAGGCGTACCTAATAATCATGTTAGACACTTTCTTTCCAGCCAAAGTTTGAACAGTTAAAGAGTGTCATGAGTGGAAAATTACATTGAGAGGGGAAATGAACTCTTGATTTTTATGTATTATAACATGCTTTAAAATTTTAAATAATAATAAAAATTAAATTAAGTAACTCAACTTTTAATCCAAGAGTAATATTTTTTAGAAGTGAGTAGTCACAACATTAGTTCATGAATGGTCACAGTTTCATGAGTAATCATGACTTTAGGTAAAAATGGTTAGAACCTAATGAATAGTCACAACTTTTACAGATTAACAGTTGTGATGTTTATATTTCTGACTTTTAGGATAATGTGTCATTTTTGTCTATAAAAAGGCTTCCATTCACTTGGTTTTAGTATTCCACTTTATTAGATTCTTTTCTTGAACTTATTTCCTCTTGTGAGTCTTTTGAGTGTCCAAGAAGTTTTTATTTTAAGAAGGCAACTAAAGTTTTATTCAAGTTCGTCTGATTTTTTGTTTGAGTGCACACTAATAGTTCTTGCTTTGTTCGTTGTATCTTGGGAATAGGACGTTAGTGGCTATTTGCAACTAGATGACGATGATATTCTACTCTAAAGTGAGCGCCTTCCATAGCGTGCCTTGAATCGAGTTCTACATTCTATTTTTTTTAATATTATTATTTTGTGTTTTTTTTTTTTCGTCTTGTTGACTTAGATTTGTTTAAACTTATTGATATTTTCATCAGTGGGAAAAAATTATACATGGATTGAAAAGATGCACAAGATTCCTGCTACTATAGGCAGGGATGACAGCATCTTCAAGCCAACTGGAAGCATGACCCCTTCATGTTTTCGAATTTCAAGACTGTACCTGCTAATGTCTATATTCTTTAGTAAAATTAAGTGTGACTTGAGTGCAAATTGTTGGATTCTTTGATTTTTTGGGTTGAAATTGTTGATTGTGTAAGGAATTGGTTGATTTAGGTGTACTCAGATAATTAAGTGGTAAAATTGAGGGGGAAGTTTTGTTTAATAAACTTCAATGAATAGTTTTGCATGTATTTTAGCACATTTTAATTCATTTTATATGATAAATACAACGTATTGTATGAAAATTAACGTTCACCCATCTTGATATTTGAGGGTTTTTAGGAAAGTCAAAACAGGATAGATGATGGAGAGTTAAGAGTTAGTTTGGAAAATTGATTTGGAAAATAAACTTCAATGAATAGTTTTGGAAAATTTCTTAGCATTTCTCGCTCTGTTTGGCATGTCATGTGAACAAAGGATTAGCATTTATTGATTTTGGTCTTATTTCTGGTCACTAAAATGGGGGCATCTTGGCTTATTAGAGGCAAAAAAATCAACTTATGAGTGCAATGCACGAAATTCATATCTCACCCACTTCCCTTTCCCTTAGGGGTGTGACTCAAATGGGTTGAGTAGATTGAGAGGTCAATTCTAATTCAATTCTAAGTATATAATATTCAACTCTAACCCTACCTTAAGTCGAGGTCCTCAACCCGAGTACTACCCAAGTTTAAATTAAGCGGGCTTAAGTTAAATTTGTGTTACTTAATTCGAATTAAAGATGGGGTTGGACTTGAGTTACTTAATTCATGTTGATTTTTTTATGTGTAGATTTAATTTTTTCAAGTGTAGATTTATCTTTTTTAAGTGATCTGAGATGAAGGGTAAGACGCAGATGAAGAGAGAAAGAGAGAATGAGAGAGGGAGAAGCGACAAGTAAGAGAGGAAAGCTGAGAGTCTGAGACGACTCAGATGAGTGATGATTGAGGGAGGGAGGCTGAAAGAGGGAAGAGAAGTATACCCGCCCAAGTTGGACCCCTACATTCCCTTCCACCCACTCTCCCTTCCTTTCTATCGTTAATCATCCTACAATTTAAGAAGTTAGAAAGTTAGATATAGAATTATAAAGAAGTTAAGATGACAGAAAGTGGTTTAAAACAAACAAATGAGTAGTTATTAGGTAGTGGAGGGGTAGTTGGACCATTTGGTGCAATCTGATAAGAGTGAATGTTTTAAAATAAATTAAAATTCTAAGAAATGAGAAAATAAAGTTAGAAAACTTAGCTTTTAGTGACCTAAATTTCCCAATTTGTACTCATGTGAACAATTTAATTTATGGTACAGTGGTCTTCCAAACGAACGCCCCATGACACAGTCATAGACTTCGGATCCTTTTTCACATTTTAAAGGTAGGATTTTAGGAACTGTTGAAAAATTCTAGAAGTACCACCGAGTGGTTGGTACAGTAGGTAAGAATCCAAATTTGTTCGTTCAGTACTTGATTTTGAATTTTTATAGCAACGACAATTCGATGGGCTAAATTTACTCTTCAGTGCATAGAACACACAACGGGATCTTAACTTCGGATCTGACACAAGTACAATAAGTTTTCCGTAGAGAATTGTGTGGTGCTAATAGATAATACTTCATAGATATATAGAGTAGTTTATTTGTTTATCCATTTATGTAAAAAAAAATAAAAGAAAAGTACTATAAGCCACACAATCAGAGGAGCCAAACATGCTCATGGGTTATTGCGTCATTTTAATATTTAAGCAATGCAATGGATGGCAGTGAAGAATTATTTTTTGGCACCGTATTATAAGTTATAAGGATGATATTATAACTGGTGAGGTAAGAATGAAATAGGGATGTTTGGAACCGTGTTAAGCTCAATCTTAATGTTTAGTTATCGATCCAACTTTTTTTTTCCACTTGTAATTTAACCCAATTAAGTTCTCTCCGTGATAATTTGACGTTAAACAACTTATAACTAACCTTTTTTAAGAAGAGTAATGCTATAAAACTTAAATAAAACTAAAAAATTTGTAATTTAAATGTATATTATCACTTAAATGAGTGGATCCCATCAATTTTTTCAGTGGAGCTCATTCATCCCGCACTCATCTAAATAATAATATTCATTTGGATTATGTAATATTTTTTTTTAAAATGTATATTTTAGCTGGTACTGAATACGGTACCTATCCTTTTTACTTGAAATACAAAACTATATCGACCATGGGAACCCATTGTCCTCATCATTATAATATCACAAACTTGTGGTTGTGGGGAGGGAGAGAGAGAGAGAGTTCAACATAAATCAATAATCCCCATGGCCTTAACAGCTATGGCAAGTACCGTCATTTCCTATAAAGTACAAGCAATAGATAACAGAGAAGGAAGAATAAGAACAAGAGGTACAGAGAGAGGAAGGAGAGGGCTTCTCCTTTCAACTGCAATTGCAGTCATCCAAGTCAATGACTCCAGGACTGAGCTTCTAAAAAGTAGGTGTAAATTGATGAGATTATTCTTCCAATACGGCTATTATTAGCTTTTTGTTGCTTATTTTGATCACTAAGATGCTTATGTACACTTTTCTCTCATTGCTCAACTTCACAACTGTTTCTTTCGAGAGCTTACCCGCTGAAATGTTTCCTCAGAATATCTGAAGAAATCAGAGGAAAGCAAGACCAAGAATGATAAGGAGGTAAACACCAGTGTTCTGTGGAGTGCATCCATTGCATCTGAGATAACATATCCATTGGGATTTTGTACAAAACGGAAAAGTATTGAAACACACTTGTCAAGTACTGTTTATCTCACTTCTTTCCCTCTTTTCTGTTCTGCCCTTTGCAGAGACTAGAGAGTTACTACAAGCGCAACTACAGGGATTACTTCGGTTTGTTAGAAGGATCTTTGAGGCAGAAAAAAGAGCAGCTCTCTGAATCAGAGAAAGGCATTCTTGAATGGCTTGACAAAAACAATTAATTAATTTGTATTACCTGCTCAAACTTACCGTTTGTAAATTCAATTGCAGTTTCGAAATGAAATTCTCTTGCATACAAACAGTTTATGTAAAGGATGAAAAATTTATATTTGTTTGTGATATTCCAAAGATAATAAAATCATTTATTGAAATTTTTTATTTGAAACATGTAATGTATAACAAAACAGTAACAACCAAATGTGAAACAGTTATACAGAAAAGTAAAATAATTGGGGAAGAATAAACGAAACAGTTACAATAGTCTTAAAGAAACAGTTACATATAACTGTTTGTCAAACCAATATAAATACTAACCCGGTTGTAGAACAGGAACTATTATTGAACTTTATGTAGATCAAGATTAGTGTTTGACACTATGTCCTTAAGACAGATTTTGCCCCCACACATGGTGCTTATGGAATATCAAGTGTCTGCCTCCAAAGATAAAATGATTTTTACACGAGTAGAAGTAGCACTCCAATTTACTCGTCTAGCGAACTACAAATTGTGTTGTGTACTCTCTAAATGTAGATTGTCTTAATGCCGAAATGCAATGCACTAATATCTGGCTTAGCTCTGAACATGAACTAATGAATGAATTGAATGCAAAATAATTATGTAACTGAGTTATTTATAGAGAGAATGATGACTAATCCGGACAGTCACTATTTGAACGGATGCAACCCAGCAGACATAAGACACCACTTGTGTAACTGTTCTCTATGAACAAACACAACTCAAAATTTTGGACTAATTGGAAAATATCCTCAGAACCAATCCGAACAAGTATCGAAATTTAATTTTGGTTTAGAAATTCTCGCTCAATTAATTAAACAAATTTTCTCCAAAAAGATAGGGCTCGGTCTAACCACACCCGTACCTGTGCTTGAGCCCATGCCCAGCGATGCGCACGTGTGTGTGATAGAACCGAAGATATGTAGGTACTCACTTCGCTCATAAAATTGTGATACCCCTTGGAGCCCAATCCCATAGAGCAAACTAGGCTTATATATGTCCACTTAGAACTTCTTTCTCAACCAATGTGAAATTGGTGTCAAATACCACATTACACAACCTCTATTTTCACATTTCAAGAGGGCCACTTTGAAGCCTATTTTCTCACTCATTTCTTACTCGATTTGAGCAAGTGAATATACTATGTTATTCTTCTTATGGAGTAGAATATGAACCCACAATAGTTACTCAAAACAACGAACGGGTGCCACTTTAATTTAGGCTCAAAGTCGACCAAAAAATCAATTTTATCACTTAAAAAATTATTTTGGTCTAACAATCTCCCACATGAATGAAAAATTGGTTGTTATTATGCAAATGATAATACGGATACACTATAGAGAGTACATCTTTGAAAATATTGTGCATCGAAATAGGTAGTTTTTGGTTTTGAACCTTCCCTAATGATAGCCCATCGAACTTACCGGCCAAATAGTGAACGTAATGTCTTAAACTATTCAGTTGTTTGATAAATCATATTGAATAGAATTTACAGTCTTTTTCCTAACACAATTGGTTCTCATGATTATATTCATTTTGGCCCTAAACAACTCTTGGTTTTCAAGAGTGCTTTAGAGAATTCAACTATTATAAATTCTCACAGAAGCGGCCCCTTCACACCCATATAGGTGACTCCTATTGGCTATATCCTACAATATCCCACTTGGATTTTTCCAAATATAAAAGTCATTAAAAACATAACTTACCCTAAAAAACTCTGCAAGCAGCACTAGATTATCATACGAATAGGTATGAGAAATTATCTCTTTAGTGTTTCTTTTGAATCACACATAATTCAGTTGTCTCTTTGAACCTAGATCTTGGGATCTCCAATCAACTAGGTTGGATTGTCATTAAGGTGACTCTTGTGTCATAGGCTTTAGTCTCATTCCCCTCGATGTGCAATTTACTTGTTCTCTCGTCAAATCTTTAGTAAGTGGATCCGCTAAATTATCCTTTGACTTTATATAATCAATAAAAATAATCTCATTTGAGAGCAATTGTTTGACGGTATTATGTCTACGACGTATATGTCTACACTTACCATTATACATGTCACTCTGTGCCCTACCAATTACAAATTGGCTATCGCAATGTATACAAATTGGTGGCATATGTTTAGGTTATATTGAAACATCCTCTAGAAATTGGCGAATCCATTCAGCTTCCTCTCCTACTTGATCTAAAGCAATAAATTCAGATTTCATCGTAGATCTAGCAACACTACAACAAAAGTTTTTTTTGCATTAACAATTTGTCGACTTAAAAGATTACGTTGTCGTTGCAAATAATTTTTGCGACGGCAACATGATCTTTTGAGTTGAAAAATTGGGGGTGACGAGTAATAGGCGATGCAAAAGATTTTGCTTCGGCAATTAACTATCACAAAAGTTTTGCATTAGCAAAATCCGATGCAAATCGCAAAAGAATCTTCGATTTGACATTTTTTATTTGCATCAGCTATTTTCTGTTACAAAAAACTCATGTGCGATGGTTTAAATCTGTCACAAAAGGTATTATTAGCCACAATTGGTGACTGTCGTAATAAACCCTATTCACAACGGTTAAAAAACTGTCGCATAAGATACTATTAGCCACAGTAGGGGATCGTCGCAGCAAACCCATTTACAACAGTTTTAATTCGTCGCAAAAGATATTATTAGTCACAGTACAGAATAGTCTCAACTAACCTATTTACGATATTTTTTAACTTTCGCAAAAGATATTATTTTTCATGGCAGTAGACCAACGAAAAAAAAATGATACTACTTTTTTGACGTTATTTGGGTCAGCAACTTACTTTCATAAATAATTTTTTTTTTAAATCCTAATTCTCTTTTTCACATGTTTCTCTACACCTGTTTACATATCCAATACATTACTCATAACATCATTTGATTAAAATAATAACGCACATCTCTCAAAACAAAATCATCTAAATTTAAAAATAAAAATATATTCAGCATAAGTAAATTGCATTTGAAATTTTAAAAACAAAATATTTCAAACTAAGTAATGAAAGTGTCAATTCATAATAAAAAATTTTAGTCACTCAATGCATCATTTGCTCTTTAATCATACACAATGTGTACTCTCTTATAAAACCCGATAAAATTTAAACCTTTTCAGAAAAAGGCCAAAATGGTAAATTGTCTTTATAATGTGGGTTTAAAATTCACATTTTTCTAGAGCTCAAATGATGCAACAGACCTCACCATTGGATTCGTATCACGGAATTGAGCTGTCATGTCAATTTTGTTAAATTTCAAGATAATCAGATTTTGCACATTTTACAAGACAACTGGGTGACAAATGACTGCACGAACGTTCCCAAAAATGAAAATTATAAAATTTCCTTATAATTGAATAAAAATTCAAATAAAATTAATTTGAACTTAAACTAGGATGAAATGAATTGTTTTGGGACGAAAAACGGATCCGAAAGTGATAAACGTACGGGGGCGATGTGGACCGCACAATTAAAAGTATAAATAGGGGTTAAATATCTGAAAAATTAGATATTTTCCACCCTTAGTCAGTTGAGATCAGACGTTGGAAGAAAAGAGAAGGGAGAGAAGAAAAAAATTAAAAATTCTACCTTTTTTCTTACGATCCAAGGAGTTTTGGCGGTCGTAATTCATCGAACCAACAATTAAAGTTGGTCTACGCAAAGAGGGCTACGTGTACGTACCAAGAACGAGGAATTTCACCGGAGACCCAAAGAAGGACTTTGGAGAAATCAAGATTTTTGGGGCTAGAAGGGTGTCTTGAGGCTTCTACCACTTCTATCACGCTCTAAGAGGTAGGATTTCCTCCTACTTTGGACTAATCTCTATCCTATGGCGTTCATAAGTAATGGGTATATGTATGGGATGACTTATGACTTACCTATAGTAATGGAAATTAGAAAATGGGGTATATAAATGGCCTAGACCAAATTTCTAGCTTGATTTGGTTATATGGAAGTGCTTGTGAAATTTCCATGAAATTGGGTTTTATGTGGGCATGTTATATGTTTATAATGTGCCTTGTGACTTAAGGGTGTTATTGACATGAATTATGTGGTAGCATACTTATAAATTAATTGGATATAAATGTTGGTATACGTTCATTGGTATGTTGACATTGTGATAGAGAATGATAATTATATGCTTATGATATAAATTGTCATGACATCGACATTACAATGGTGCATTACATTGCATATTGCACAGGAAAAATACATCCATGACCATGAGTATGGGTGTGTGAGTGCATGGTTAGATCAATCATCATACTTGGTGGTTGATGGGTGGGCTCGGAAAAGCGGGATTGAATATTCTACTAAGTCGCATGGTTGCATGAGGAAAAACTTGTGTCGGGTATAGCAAGCAGGGCTAGACTCTCCCTCGGGTGCAAAACCCGACAACTTGGTTCATACACTTGCCTACGGTGAAATTCTAGAAAAGTGTAACGGTTTGTGGAACCGACGGTGCGATTCTGAGAACTCTACTACCTAACAAAGACATGTGATTTTGTTATATGAATAATTCATTTGACGGAAAACATTCAAAAAAGATGAATTGGTTTTATAAACACACGGATTGTATTTCAAAGATGATCATTGGATGTATTCCATCAATGAGAAAGGTTTTACACTTGCATTGCATTGTGTGGTGGGAGTCGGTGAGGGCTCAAGTTAATATGCGTGAGTGAGTCTCATCTCATTTCATGGCATGACATTATGATTTTTCAACATTGAATTACATGTTCTTGTTGGAATAGGAAATGATGGTTAAGTGTTGCACATAAACATTGCACATGCATCTAGGGAGGGAGTAACTTTTGTATGAAATACTTTACTGGGCGTGGTTCACCCTGTACGGGAACACATTTCAGGTGCGGGGTTCGTACCGGTGGAGGACTCACATTCGAGACCGCAACTATGAAGAAAAGCCTGGTTGTGGCTTTTGCAAACAAATTTTTGTAAAACCTTTATTAAATTACA